CATGCAGCCTGCATCTGGTCACAGGAGGCGGAGGTTGCAGACATCCAACTGAGGCTGCTTAGGTGCTGTGCAGCTAACCAAGGTCTTCTGGGAACAAGAGGCATAACCAGGGCTGAGTCCCCATCTCTGAAAACACAAAGATTGGTCTGTTTTACAAGGTTATGCTGAATCAGAGTGCATTGAGCAAGACTATCAAGTAGGGATCTTGGGGTCCCAGTGAAAATTTTTGCCCTAATTCAGTATTTTAGGCAAAATCCATGTTAGGGATTAAGAGGAGAGGGACTGAAAATAAAATGGCCAGGATCAGAACATTTTAATATAAATCTTAAAAAACTATCATGGGGAAAATCAAAACTTTGTTAGACCTCCTTATATTCCACTCTTCCCCCATTATTATTATTTTCTGGTTCTCTTTTCATTACTTATACCCAGGTGGTATCCTACCAATGTAGATAGGACAAATGTGAGGAAATCAGATCCTGTCATGTGTTGCAATAAATCTATGTTTTTTATATTTGACATTTTTATTTTATGCTTTAGCATTGCTTTTACTTTGAATTTTGTAAGGGGGCACCATAAGCTTTTAAGATCTTATAGCCTCTGAAGGTCTTCATCCATCCCTTCTCCCTGATAAGCAGCAATACATACACATGTCCATCTAAAGAGGAGGGGAAATAAGACCATGAAGCCCAGAGTCTGAAAATTACCCAACTGCATCCCTGACTGCTAAACTAGGATCATGAGAAGCCACCATCTGGAGAGATGTTTTGTCCACCTGGCTCAGGACAAACTAAACACTTGACAAGGTAAGAAACTCCTCTTTGTTCTTTAAATCTCTTGTGATTTAAAGACACTCAGCAGGACACAGCTCGAGGACCCTTGAGACATGAGCCTCTCCAAAACGCATCGGCTACTGGAAAGCAGAGGGGGAAAGAGAGGACATATTTAAGGTCATTGTATGGTAGCTCACTTTCTGCCATGGCCTGAAGAGGGCAGCAAACACTCTCCAAAACTAGGCTGAGTTTGAGGGAATTTGCCAAACTTTCAGCTGGCAGAAGTAGAAGACCACTTGTTGCTTTGTGCGTTTCTTCAAGGCTACAATAAGGCATGTCATTATCAGTGGGGAAGCAGTGACTGCGGACAGCCCTTATTTTGATTTATAAATAATAAGGAAGTCAGTGAAATAGCTTCACCAGACTTTCCTGTTGAAAGTTATGGGAACCACTTACAAGTAAAAATAAATCATAATGAGAAAAATGCATCAAAAATACATCAAAGTACAGTGGAACCTCTACTTACAACAATAATCTGTTCCGGAGGACCGGTCATAACTAGAAACGTACATAAGTAGAGGCGCACTTTTCCATAGAAAGTAATGGAAAAGTGAATTGATCTGTTCTAGACAATGAAACCCCCCCAAAAACAGCAATTTAACATGGATTTTACTGTCTAACCAAGACCATAGATCCATAAAATGAAGGCAATAATCAATGTACTGTACTATAAAATAAATAAGACAGTATTGTAGTTGAAAAAAATAAACATTTATTTTTTTTCTTACGTGCACTGCGGGTGGGTGGGCTTACCTGGCTACAAGCTGGGGGTGGGGCAAGGGTCAGTAAAGAGCTGATTTACTTCAGCCAGGGTAACTTTTTTTTCTTGCCAGGCCAGGTTCTTCTCTGGACTTCCTCAGGTTAGTTCCTTGGCGGGGTTTGGGGCTGCAGTGCACTCTGCTGTGCCTCTTGCAGGCGGCACCTCTTCCACAGCTTTGGGGGTGGGATGGGGGCCTTCTCCCCAGCAACAGAGGCCTCAGAGCTGCTGCCCAGCCGGCCGAGTGAGCTCTGGGCTGCTGGCAAGGCCTCTGCTCGTGTCTAGAGTGTTCATAAGTCGAAGCACCTTCTGGAGGTTGTAACTGGAATCGTACGTAAGTAGAGCCGTACGTAAGTCGAGGCTCCACTGTAGAACTAAATTAAAGCAACAAGTAATAAGAATAAAATGGAGTGTATGTGTATATACATCTGTGTGTGAATATTTTATATATTTATTAGAGAACTTAAGCTTACAAAGGGTTTAAGAATGGCATGGATAGATAGGTGGATGATAGATCTCACTGCCTTAGGCTTAGAATCTGAAAAAACACAACATAAAATCAAAATGCACTCGGAGGGAGGAGGAAATAAACAAAGTCAGGTTGAAGCTCTTAGTTACAAGTTGTTTTCATGACCTGCTGGCATGGCAAAGTTCAAGGAGAGGAGAAACCAAAGGTTTCTGATTCAGTTCTCATTTAAGGGTGAGCTTACCTAATCTGCATGTTCCAAAACAATATGTGAGCCGAAACATATATACAACACCACCATAGCTGGAATGACCTGTACCCTGCCTTGCAGGACTTTTTCCATCTGGCCTGGGAGCCCTGACTGACTCCAGCTACAAAAGCTAAGGCTGCTGAACAGATTATTGGGCTGTGGTTTGGTTGCAGGTGTGTGTGGGGGGGTTGCTGTTATTTTTTTGTATTTTTAGGTTAGATCTCATTATGATATATGTGGAAATTGTTTAATTTGGTTGTGTACTTTTTGATGCTTTCTTTATTGTTTATGAATACTTTTGTTGAGTTTATAATTATGTGTATTTTCATGCCATAAGCCGTCTTGAGCATGGTTTTAACTATGGAAACATGACGTACAAAAAAAATGATGAGGTGATGAGATGAGAACTTGCACTTCTCCAGAGCTTTCAGTGCAGTTCTTCAGCCAAGTAAAGTGTATAAAACGTCTATATATTGGGGTAACATGTGCATCAGAATGCATACAGTGGTACCTCGGGTTACATACTGTCAGGGAACTGACATCAGAGCGAGAGGCGAAGGGGAGGCTCCTGGATGATGCTGGAGAAGGACCCAGCAGCAGGGGGAGAGGCGACTCAGTGGAGGGGGAAGCATTTAAGCGCAACACCAGGAACAAAAGTGAGCAGATGGGAAAATCGGAGAGAGGGCTCCAGGACTCTTCACTGGAACTCAGTGAGGAGGGGACAGGTCCCCCGCTACCCACGCCCACCCTGCGCAGAAGGCTCCCGCGCAGTGAGAGGCGGAGGCGATTGGGTGTCAAACAACTCTTATGTTGGAAGAGATTCAAGAAACGCCCACTGACGGATTCTGCTAGTGACTGAGACAGTCATGATCAGAAGGGGCTGTGCAGTCAGAAAGGTTTAACAAGGCAAATCAGCCTAGAGAGGCACCAGTTTACGCACGAGTAACTCATACTCATTACACATACGCTTCAGGTTACATACGCTTCAGGTTACAGACTCCGCTAACTCAGAAATATTACCTTGGGTTAAGAACTTTGCTTCAGGATGAGAACAGAAATCGTGCTCCGGCGGCAGCAGGAGGCCGCATTAGCTAAAGTGGTGCTTCAGGTTAAGAACAGTTTCAGGTTAAGAACAGACCTCCAGAACGAATTAAGTTCTTAACCCAAGGTACCACTGTATTTTCATGAAAACGATGTAGAAAATTGCATTGCATTAGAGCAGTGGTTTTCAACCAGTGTACCGTGGCAAGGTGGGGTGCCTTGAATGATGGTCAGGGGTGCTGTGGGCAACACTGTCCTCTGTCCCTCTTTCCTTCCCTCCCTCCTCTGATGCCCTCTCACGTCTCTGGCCTCCCAAAGGCTTGCACAGCTGTTTGTTGCATCAGCGCTAGCTACAAGCTCCACAGGTAAATTGTGCCTCTGGAGCTGGCCAAGGGATGCTGATTGCCAGGAGCTGAGGCAACCTCTGAGTAAGCAGGCAAGCTGGCGAGGTCCACCAGCAGCCAGTCCACCAGCCCTTGCTGTTGGAAATGGACAGACATGTCCCAGGCCCCTGTGGGGCAGAGTGAGGAGCCACCTCTCTTTGGGGCAGCGGGGGCAGCTCAGAGACCAGGAGTGGCAGCTGTGGCTGCCCAAAGGACTCCCAAGGAGAGAGGAGAGGAGGCAGAAGGAACATTCCACAAGGGAGAGTATTTGAGAAAGGGTGAGGGCTGCCAGCTCAGCACGCAAGGGGTGACATCACTGGGCTCCTGATCCTCACAGGGGTGCAGCAAAAAGAATGTAGTCATACTTCGGGTTACAGACGCTTCGGGTTGCGTGATTTCGGGTTGTGCACTGTGCCGAACCTGGAAGTACCAGAACGGGTTACTTCCGGGTTTCGGCATTTGCACATGTGCAGAAGCACTAAATTGAGCTTTGCGCATGCGCAGAAGCGCCGGATTGCGACTCGTGCGTGCGCAGGTCGCGGGTTGCGAACGTGCCTCCCGCACGGATCACTTTCGCAACCCGAGCTTCCACTGTAGTTGGTCAGTGGAGCCATAGACTCCAAAAGGTTGAAAATCTCTGCGTTAGGGGAAACTGTTTGGCAAAATAAATATATTGGGCAAAATTGCGTACAAAACCTTGCATTTTAGGATAGATTTGCACAAAAATGCTGATGAATTTTCATGCAGACTTTTTTTTGTTTTTTGTTTTTAATGAGAAATCAAAATGAAGATGTTGGCCCCTCCCTCCTTGGGAGTTAGTCTCACTGAACTCTGTGGAACATGTAAGCAAACCTGCTAGCCGTTATGCACAGGAAAAGTTAAGTGCTGCAACATACCAGTGAGATACAAAGAGGGAAGGCACAGTGAGCCATAAAGAACTACCGTATTAGCCTGAATATAAGCCTCACTTTCCCCCCAAATTCTGACTGTGAAAAGTTTAAGTGTGGCTTATATTCGTGACCTTACAGTATGCAGCTAGGAGCGCAGGGCAAACAGCGCCAGGAGTGGGGCAAAGCAGCGCTCGCCCCATGCATAGTCCCCTGTCCTCTCCAGCCAGGAGCAGTGAGAAATGGAGCGGCTTATATTCAGGTATTTTTTCTTTTTCTCTCCCCCCCCCTCCAATTTTAAAGGTGCAGCTTATATTCGGGTGCGGCTTATATTCGGGCCAATGTGGTACATACATCCTCAAAGGGGCCTGAGTTTATTGAAAGGCCATAGCTCAATGGAAAAGCACCTGTCTTGCATGCAGAAGGTCCCAAGTTCGAATCCTGGCATCTCCAGGTATGGCTGGGAAAGACTCCTGACGGAAACCTTGGAGAGCCCCTGCCAGTCAGTGTAGAGAATACTGAACAAGATAGACTAAGGTGTTCTGACTCGGTATAAGGCAGATCCCTGTGTTCACAATCTGAAAACTTCATTTCCTTCTTCGCGGCAATTTGATTAAACATGCTTCTTGGCTGTGGGGCATTCCTGAATGACAGGCTGCATGTCACACAGCAGCAAGGGGGGAACAGACCCCTGCTTCAAACTACTGGCAAGCTCATTCGTAAAAGAGGTCAAACTTTTCTTTTAAAAATGGCCAGAGATTTATTACTTTCCTTTGGGGCTCATGCTTCTTGCACACCAATGTTTTGGGAATTCAAGCTGGTATGAGAAGGAACAAGTTAAACTCGGGCAATTTTACCAAACAGGAGAAGGGTGGACTCAAATTTTAAATCTGTGCCATCAGTCAGCTCACTTAAGGTTAGTTAAGAGACAAATGCCCAGGAAAGAAAACAGTTCTTCATTTTGATTGAGAATCATTTGAGATTCATTTACATTTATTTCATTGACAGGAGGAAAGGGAATGGCATTCGGACCAATATACCTGAAAGAGTGTCTCCACCCCCATCGTTCTGCCCAGACACTGAGGTCCAGCGCCGAGGGCCTTCTGGTGGTTCCCTCATTGCGAGAAGTGAGACTACAGGGAACCAGGCAGAGGGCCTTCTTGGCAGTGGCGCCTGCCCAATGGAACGCCCTCCCACCAGATGCCAAAGAGAAAAACAACTACCTGATATTCAGAAGGGAAGTTTTTATTGTGTGGTATTTTAATGTATTTTAAATATTTGTTGGAAGCCACCCAGAGTGGCTGGGGAAACCCAGCCAGATGGGTGGGGTACAAATAATAAATTAGTATTAGTATTAGTATTAGTATTAGTATTAGTATTAGTATTTTCTGGGCAGTCTCCCATCTGGCACTGAACACACTATGATCTGCTTAGCTTCAGCAAATCTGCTCTGCCATGGGACTTTAGACCATGCCCCGTCAAAGACACTCCTTATGGCAGGTGTAGGGTGTGGGATGTAAAACACAGGAGCAGTCAATTACAACATTCCTAGAGTGTACATGTTTAGACATGGGGAGGGATGTTTGTCCAGCCAGCAGGTAAACTTCCTGGGACAGACTTCCTCTGCATGTGACTAGAGGTGGGTGTGGCCTCACCTGTGCAGGTAATGATAAAAGCACATGATTTAAGCAAGTGTTTTAAACAGGAGCTACATTTTCTGTGGATTTCCAAGATGGCGACGGAGATAGCAGCATAGTCAGGTTCGCCTGCCTTCAATTAAGATTTTAAGTAGTTTTTTAGCCTTCCTGGACTCTAATTTTATAGTTTTAATGATTTATTGGCTGACTTATCACCTCACCACTGCTCCTGTTTATCTTAGCTATCGTTTTATTGTTTTACGGTTTTACTGGCGACATTGATAAACTGCTGGTTCTCTAAATGCCTCGCTGAAGAGAGGGGCAACGAAACACCTCTCCAAGCACAACTATAATAGAGGGAGAGGAAGAGAGAGGAAGAGAGGAAGAGAGAGTACTGAGCTCTACTTACACTTCGGAATTCCACGCAGTCGGTGGGGTACAGCGGGGGCAGTAAATTAATGTTAACATCACCGGAGGGCTTTCAACGCCGTCGGGGAGTATCACTACATAGTCTCTTCGGCAAGTAAGATGGCGGTTCAAGCCAGATTGGATTACATCGCCCTCCTCCCCTCAACGTTTCATCTGCCACGGTCGTTGTAAGTAATGCCGCTGTAAAAACCTATTTTATCTATCCCCCTCTACCTCTGACCGCTAGATTGTGAACTGTCGGAAAGTCTGGCACGCAGTGGACCACAGCCACTTCTAATTAATTAACTAGACGTGGAGCTTCTGGGGAGAGCGTTATTTAACAAGAGGAGTGCTAATTCCAGCTTGTCTAACTGGGACTAAGTGGTGCTATCTTCACATCCACATATCCCACATAGCTCCATATACTCTACAGAGCTCCATACACTCCACGGAGATGGTGCTCACCAGACAGAAATGTAAAGTTCTGGGGATCTCCCCAACGCAGAGGGTTGAATCTCCATCTGTAACCTCGCAGACGAAAATTTTGCATTATTTTAAGCCTAAAACAAAAACGCCCATAGGCTCCGAGTCCCCACTTCTCCACGATTGGTCTATTGACCGAACATGGTATGGGAAGGAACCTGATATTGATGAGGAGAGAGAGGGGATCAGTCTGGCAATGGAGATGGCTCAGATAGTCTCCCAATCTAGTGCTACCGACACTCCCGTAGAACATGATCAAGAACGAAATTTGAAATGCCTGGAAGGCACACTAGATGGATCAGTCAATGCAGCCAGCCCCAGCGAAAAGGCTAGGATGGAATCCTCAAGTGCGACGAGAATAGAGGAAAATCCAAGTCAGTTAAAAGGAGCCTGCTGGGTCACAGATAGCAATACCTGTATCCTGATTGGGCTTTTCAATGAAATGATGAAAGAATGCCAAATGCACATAAGTAAAGAATTAGGACCAATTAGGAACTTTCTTACGGAATGTGTGGGTTTGCTAGTAAGCCTGACAGAGCTCATCAGGAGGGGAGCAATCTCACACACACCCACTCCAGCGGCTGAAATTCCAACAGAGTCCAGTATCTCAGAGAAGGTCCCAGAGAGAGCCACTCCCATGTTTACCAACAGTCGAGTCACACACTCCTCACCTAAAAAGAAGCATCGCCACCAAAGAATACTCCCACTTCACAAGAAGAAGTCTAAAAACATAAAAGTGGGAAGGCGGACTAAGAGTCATATACGAACTAAGAAATTGAATTTTTCTAAGTTATTCAAGCTCCTGGAGAATCCCACAATAAAGGAATCAAATACAAAGAATACTAAACCCGTGACCCCAAAACAGAGCATTATCCAGCAACCCAAAGTGACAAGTGCATCACAATCCCCTAGCCCTCAACCAACGAAAGATCGGAACGAACAAATAGATAAAGATCGGCAAACCTCCTCTGCTACTGTGGTGACTAACACCCCCATTCGCAACAAGATAACTCAGAACAACCAAACGCTGATCCTCAACAGAAGCAGATTGGTTATTTGCCCTATGTACAACCGTACAGAATTACATTCACTGGACCAACAAAGAACGTATATATTTAAAAAAATTGACTTAGTACTCAGAGGCCTCCTATTACAAGGGAACGTTATCAATGCAGATTTTCTCCCAAATGACAATAAGTATAATCGAGTGATGCTGACATTTAAAGATGACTCGACCGCAAAACAAATATTAATTAATAAGGAAAAGTTGCACAGGGTAGGCCTGACAGTGACTCGCCTATTCGAAGTGCCCGGCCCCCTCGCATCTCATCAAATTAAATAAGAAAGACATCTATTCAAAGGTGGTGGAAAACAATAAAGCTGAATATCAGAATAACCACCAGTCGCCTCACGAACTGGGCACCCCTACACACAACTTCTCCTTTGAAGAAAATACCTTAATTAGCCAATTCTGGGCATTCCCACCTTTAATACAAGCTGAAATACTAGAAAGATTGGAAACGCTAAGAAACAAGCTGGCTGGGAAAGACTTACATAAGGAAACTAAGGTGGACGTCCAAAGTAAGAGCAAGAGCCCTTCCAAAATAATCATCTCACAAGAACCCGATTCAGCGGCTCGTCGACCACGTAACCTTCAGATAAAGGCAGAGATTAATCTACCTGCAATCAAGAAAGTACAACTTACAAAGGAGAACAATGCATCGCTCCCTATAAGGAAAAACATGCCCAAGGAAACCTCACCAGGCTTTTGGTCCAAAATGAGATACTTAGATGAAGCGGAATTAGGCTACAACCAGGTAGAATACCCCCAGGAGGAGGCCTTGTACAGCAAAGGCCCAGTGTCTACCAATGTGAGCACTTTACATTTACCATCTGACACCATAGAACTCCTGGGCAGCTCTCCATGCAAGGATGACAGACGGCTGCCACGTAGAATGGGAAACTCTAACAGTACCTTGGAAGATAATTGACAAGGAGTGGATTTTGGTAAAGCCAACCTTAGCTTTTTATCATGGAATATCGCAGGATGGCAAAAAAAGGCAGCTGACCCATCCTTTGTTAAATTTATCCAAGGCTACGACATAGTATTTTTACAGGAGACATGGCTCACAGGAGACCTAGAAGTTAACGGCTTTTCCTCAATGTCCCTCACAGGTTCCCCAAGCACTAAAGGGGGGAGAGTCAAGGGTGGCCTAGGCATTTTAATATCTACAAGGTTGAGGGCGTCCTTAGTAAAGCTAGAGACACTGAAACACCTGGCTATGGCCTTACTAGTGAAAAGTAGATTCTTCACCCTGCTACTGATTAATGTATATCTTCCCCCCCAAAGAGGCAAGCAGCTGATTAAAAACACCTGGCATGGGCTGGAAACATACATTGATGGTTTGATGACTCAAACCCCCCAGCTTCAGTGCTAGTGGCTGGTGATCTTAATGCCAGAATTGGCCAGTCTGACGAAGCACTATATGCACACTTCCACGACTCGCCACCTATTGTGGAAGAAAACCACCTTATACCCACCAGACTCTCAAAAGACAAGGGATGTAATTATGCAGGTTTGTGCCTATTGCGGCTTTCTAACAAGCTGGACCTGGTCATACTAAATGGGCGCAAGAATGGGGAGACCTGTGGGGAATTTACTTTTATATCAAATGCAGGAGCTTCCACTATCGACTATGTTATGGTATCATTTAATCTCCTAAATAGAGCCCTTGAGTGCAAAGTGGAGGAGAGGGTTGATAGTGATCATTTACCGCTCTGCCTCCTCCTGGATGCAAGAAAAGACTTATTTTGCAATGATAAACTTGAAGCCCCCAGGTCCTCCAACATGGAGTTGAGATACTCACGTATTAGATGGTCCGAAAAGCTGAATGCCGAAACATCTGAAAGGCTATACTCGGACAC